CTCGCTATGTCTCTCTCTCTCTCTCTCTCTCTCTCTATTTCTTTCTCTCTCTCACACTCATAACAATAAATGGAACAAAACTCGCTCTCTCTCTCTCTCTCTCTCTCTCTCTCTCTCTCTCTCTCTCTCTCTCTCTCTCTTGTGTTAGTTCTTTGTCTCATTGATTTGGCTACCTTAGGGTTGCGTTCCCCGCGCCCACCAGGTAGACAGTTTGGTTGCGCCTAACCTCCCTGTTCGCTGCCCTTAGGCTGCGGTATAGTGTGCTTCCGCGTCTGTGTCAAGGTGTCGCATTTTCGGTGGCAGGTGACCAGAACGCAAAGTGGGTTCTTAGGGGATAAATGATCTTTGGGGACCGGTTCTTGGCAAAATTGCCTACAGCTAGCTCTTCTAGAACCGGGACTTTTGGAAAAAGGAAGGACCGGTCCTCGGGTGGAAGTGGACCCCAAAAAGAAGTGGGGGGCGTTGGACCGGTCCCCGGGTAGAAGCGGACCCCAAAAAGAAGTGTGGGCATGTGATCTGCAAAAGGGCGCTCAGGCCCAGGCATTGAGCCCCGTCTTCTCAAAACAGGGAGGTCAGACACAATGAAATAGGCGTTTTGCAAGAGGCAACTTTGGCGATTTTCTATGCTCAGACGAACGTGCACAAAAAACTGAAATTTTGAGAATACACAGATGAGGTCGTGTTCTTCCAGAAATAATAATAGAACATTTGCAAAAAATCATTTGCACTGCGAAATAATCGCCACGCCGATTCGGCACATTTTCCATTTTTGCCACTCAGCCATGCCTGGGCCATCCAAAAAAGTACTCCTAATTCAGTGAGCTTTCACGCTCTCTCTCTCTCTCTCTCTCTCTCTCTCTCTCTCTCTCTCTCTCTCTCTCTCTCTCTCTCTCGCTCTCTTTCTCTCTCTTGTGTTAGCTCTTAGTCTCATTGATTTGGTTACCTTAGGGCTGCAATCCCCGCGCCCACGCGGTAGACAATGACCGCAAGGGCCCGTCGCTACCGCTTACTGAAATTCGCAGCCCTTAGGCTGCGGTATAGTGGGCTTCCGCGTCTGTATCAAGGTGTCGTATTTTTGGCGGCGGGCAACCAGGACGCAAAGTGGGTTCTTAGGGGGCAAAAAATTTTGGGGGACCGGTCCTTGGAAAAATTGTGGACTACCTTCAACTAGCTCTGGTAGAACCGGGACATTTGGAAAAAGGAAGGACCGGTCCTCGGGTGGAAGTGGACCCCAAAAAGAAGTGGGGGGTGTTGGACCTGTACCGGGGTAGAAGCGAACCCCAAAAAGAAGTGTGGGCATGTGAACTGCAAAAGGGCCCTCAGGCCCAGGCATTGAGCCTCGTCTTCTCAAAACAGGGAGGTCAGGCACAACGAAATAGGTGTTTTGCAAGAGGCAACTTTGGCGATTTTCTGTGTTCGGACAAACATGCACAAAAATCTGAAATTTTGAGAATCCATAGATGAGGTCGTGCTCTTTCCATAAATAATAATAGAATATTTACAAAAACTCGTTTACACTGCAAAACAATCGCAGCGCCGATTCCTCACATTTTCCATTTTTGCCACTCAGCCATGCCTGGGCCAACTAAAAAAGTACTCCGAGTTCAGTGAGTTTTCACGCTCAGAAATGCATGAAAAAACCTCAAAATTGGAGTCCTCGTAGATTTTGTTGTGATCTTTCCAGGAAAAAGCGCTAAATAAATTAAAAAAAATCATCCCAACTGCAAAATATATCGCGGCCGCAAGTTAACCCATATTTCAAGTTTGCCATTCAGTCTCTCTCTCTC